GCTCTTCCTCTGTTGCCTCAGGAGAGGCAAGGTTCTCATGGAAGAACCAACATGGACCATCAGGCACACCCCATCCCCCATCTGGTACCTGCACTCTGACTGGTCACTGCCTGAACCATGCTGATTAATATTTTGAGATCATCTTGGAGAGGGACCAATTCAGGCCGTCAACCTGTGTCAAGAAAAATTTCCGCAGGTTAGGTCCTCATTCTCATCAGCGCGGAAGACAGCCTTCACTGTGCCCTGCTGAAGGCACGGATGGATGCCTAGGGCACTGCTAGGAGGCAGGCGAGCACTCCTGTTTTCAAGTGCTCTCAGGAGGCCAAGGTGATGTCAGAGTTGGAGAAACACGTTAAAGTCTGCTCTTGATAAGGGCCAAAGATACCATTTTTAGTGGGAATTGTAGAGTTCCCTACAGGACCCCAACTCTCAACCAGGCCTGCTTTGGCCAGAGGCCCCCACCTGGCTCAGTCCTCACACTGCACTGTGCCTGCAGGACGTCTGGATTTCAGGCTTACTCTGGGGGAAGGGCGTTCTGGGCTGCGTTCCCCACATTTCTGGCGGTACCGTATTGAGTGTGTGCTTCTGTCTTCAAACTCATTATCAGGGAAGCTTCTCCCTCCAGACTCTACCACTTCTCCTACAGCTTTGTCCAATGATGGCCTCTAGAGACGGCCATGGGACCCCACTGGTGGGGCCAGGCCAGCAGGCAGTGTCCCCATCATCCCTCTGCAGACCCACTCCTTTGAGGCCCACCTGGTTCCCCCATCTCCTCGGCAACATACTGCTGTCTCCCCTTCCCTCTGCAAAAACCCCAAGGTTTACAGAGCTCTTCTGTGACCTACGTCAACTCTCATTAGCCCCCACAACCCCCGAGGTAGCAGTTATTGGCACCCCCTTTCATGGATGACATTGATATTCCAAAAGCTGTGACAGAAACCGGGATTGTGACTCACACTTGTACATAGCCACCTCGAGGTTTGGATTCATCCCACCACTCGGCCAGAACCTACCCTTCATTTCGCTGCCTCGCTTGGGGGGCCTGGTGGGGACGACTGCAAGGCAAGCGAGGTCCTCTCTTCTTAGTTCCCCAGTGCTGTGGCCTCTCGGCAGGGGCCCCTTCCTCCTGCATGTCCACCCTGCCTTGAAGTCCCTCCACTGTCTAGACTCTCCTCTCAATTCCCCTGCCCACAGGCTGGGTCCTCAATCTCCTCCTCTCCTGCCGTGGCCCCGTCACTCGCCCCCACGGCTTTAACCACCTCTCCGGGATGGACACCCATTCCCTCCTGCCCACTCCCAGGTTCCCAGCAGACGGGCGGACATCTGCTCCCAGATGCCCTCAGGCAACTCCAACCTACGCATCCACATCCAGTCTCTAGATCTTCCTCTCTCCGAAACCACCTCCTTCTCTCTCAACTAACAACATCTTCACTGGTCTTCTAGTCACTTGGGCTCCACTTTCTCTTCTTCCTCATCCTCCACAGGCCATCACCTGGTCCCTCCCCACCTGCTGCTTCCAATGCCGCAGCCCTGACTCTCTGAATGCTGAGGGCAGGGCCCTGCAGAGCACAAGCTGACTTACTCTAAGAATGACTAGTTTGCCTCAATCATTCACTCGTTCAGGTTATTTATTGAACGCTAGGTACCAGGCACTGCTCATAGCAACCAGGATACAGCACTGACCAAGAGACAGACCCCTGTCCTTGAGGGACGTATATCTCAGCAGGGAAGAGACAGTAACTACAACCCAAACGTACAGTACGTCAGGGGGCACAGGAAAAGGAAAGGCACAGGAAGAACCGGCAGTGCTGGTCAGGGTGCTGTTTCACACGGGGATCTGGGAAGTCCCTGCTCCTTACAGTGGAAGAAACACTCTCAGGGACTTTGTTTATAAAAATCCAGAAACTTTGTTCCTTAATCCTTTAAACTGACAACACTTGTTTCTACCAGAGACAGGGGGCTTCGTGGTTTGGGGGAACACGGTGAGAGTCTGGCTGAACAGCCTTTTATGATCTTAATTTTTGAACTACATGTGTGTATTTCCTTTTAAAAACATTCAATTGTCGAAATAGGAAAGAATTTACAGTCTTTTGGAAAAGATTAACCATTTTCATGGAACTATTTCCTTAAAGGGGACCTGTCTGCTATCTGCCAACTGCTGCCAGGATGTCGCAGATGTAGAACCCTCCAGTGCTCCTGAGGCAGGAGTCTTGACGACAACGACAGCCAATAGGCACCTGCGAGCACTGACCACACGCTGGTGTACGAGCGTTATGTGGGCACTAGGTTAACAACGACCACAGTGAGATGGGACACCCTCCGGGTGGTAGGGCAGAGGACTTGGGAGGCTTAAGACCAGGATGTTTGCTAGTCGACAGCCTTTGGGTCTCTACTTAAGTGGCTGTCCATCTTGGCCATCGCAGTCACTCCTGGTCTTTACCGATCACTGCTGCATCCTAGTTAGAAAGCTATGGACTGGTGGCCACATTAAGGAAAACCTTAGGAAAGACTGGCCCACAAGACAAGATTTAGCCAGCAGCCGGATTTCAGCCATAGTCCTCTGGCTTCTCTTCTGATAAAGCTGGTGGCTCGGCAGAGGTGGTAGGGAGGGAGGGTTTGGCTGCTATGTGGCAGAGGCCTGGGTAACACAAGACATGACATCCTGATTTCATGCTCAATGTGACAAGCACGGGGCTATGACCAGACTCAGAGGAAAGGTGGGTAATTAGGTGCCCTGTATGCACTAAATGTTTTGTCCCTCAAATTCACACGTGGAAGTCTAACCCCCAATGTGATGGTATTTAGAGGTGGGGCCTTTGGGAGATAGGTTTGGATGAGGCCAAATATGGAGCCTCCATAACAGGATTGGTGCCCTTATAAGGGGACAGAGCTTTCTTTTTCTGCCACCGGAGGACTTAACAAGAATATGGCCATCTACGAAACAGGTCCTCACTAGATACTAAATCTGCTGGCACCTTGATCTTGATCAGCCTGCAGAACTGTGGGAAATGTTTGTTGTTTAAGTCTCCCAGTCCATATTTTTGTCATAGCGTCTGAACTAAGATAGACTGTTTGAGCATGACATGATGGGGTCAGCTTGGGGTGGGAAATGGGCTCCTGTTCTTTAAATACGCCATATAACGCAAAGTCACTGCCTCTGGGCTCCACACATTCGGACCACCTGCCAGGCTCAATCTGAGTGCTCGGAGACAACAGTAGGACGCACAGCCTTGTTTCTGTCTTTCAATCTTCAGTGCCTAGCACTGAGCCTGGCCTCACCAGGCACTCAGAAACTGCATAATGGCAGAACGTTAGATTTTTGAGAACCCAGTGTTCTGAACTACTTTAGGAATGCTCTGTGTAAACCATCCAGGGCCCAGGGCTCCCAAATTCAGACCCAGCCCCTACTGTCATAACCAGCCGCAATATCTGTACCCCTCTCCAAAAGCAGGACGAAGATTTTTCTTCACTTATAAAAAGTTTATGGCTTTGCTGATAGGCAAGAAATCTAGCTGGATTTGTGGGCAGCCTCAAGTGTTAATGAACAATGATTGTGGCTTGTCCAAAGAGACTGAGTTTCCCAAATATAAAACCAGACTGAAGTTGTGTGCCATTTTTAGAGGCAGTGGGAGGGGTGTTGTTGGGGTGCTCACTGTTGGGAGTCTATAGGACCAGCCAGTGGTACCGGTTTCCAGCAGACAAAACATTCGAAGACTACCCCAGGAACCCAGGACATGTGGTTTTCTGCTGTAATGCACTAAACCACGAAACGAATCAGGAAAAATGACTTAGCTCTAACTCTGTGACCCTTTAACCCTTTGTGACACACCTAACACTCAGGGCTTCCATCTCCTTATCACTTCATAGCAGGCAAAGAGAGGTCCTCCAGCTCTTACACTGAGATAGTGTCACCGGCTTTCTCAGAAAACCAACCCTGTTTTTATGACAATTTGTGACAAGCTACTTAACCCCTATGAGACTTGGTTTCCTTATCTATAAAAAGATAGAATTGGGAGGAGACAACTTGTGCAGTCGGGCAAAAATAAAGACTTACAAGTTAGGCAGGCAGGCTGTTTCAACTCTGAGCCCTGTGTGGCCTAAAGGAGGTTACCTGACCGCTCTGAGTCTTAACTTTCTTCACCTGGAAACTGGAGATGACAATGTCTGCATGAAGGACCGCGGAAGGATCCTGCTCATGCCACCCTCCAATAGGTGCAAAAGAAACATCAGTTTCCTCCCTTTGTTCCTACTTCACATTCAGCAAGTGTAAGAGGGATGCGAATGTGCTGAAATGTCTGTAAAAAAAAAAATCGAACCTTTCAAAAGAACGCCATCAGAGGCGTGACATCAGATACATTCACCTACGTTTCCCTCCTCCAACACAAGAAGGCTTCTGAATTACTGCCCACCTCTGAGGTCGAGAGGGATCTGAAAGACTAAGGACAAGAGGCTGCCTGAGCAAAGGTGCCAACCACAGGAAGCACTGTTCAAAGCGGGAAGAGACGTGGTCCGGACGCATGGTCCTGTTCGGTGCCATGTTGGATGGGCTCTGTGAGAGCGCTGGGGAGCCTCAGAAAGGTCTGGGGACCTGGCCAGTCAGTGCCATGAAGGTGCAGTGAGCTCAACACCGGCCCCGACACCTGGCCTCAAGGTGGTGCAGGAGCAATGGGCACTACTCCGACGAGCAGATTAGCTCTCAATCACCCATGGGAAGGGCTCTTATCAGCTGTAAATGCACAGCCTTCCAAAGCTGGCTCTGCGAGCATGTTACCCAAGGGGGACAGGACAGACCCACAGCACAGCTCAGGGAGGGACACTTTGCATGCTGGAGAGATGCTGCCCTGCATCAGTCTCAGCCAGCACACTTCTTGTGACATCCGACCTTCCCCGTGCCAGGTCAGGAATGGGGGACCCCAGCCAAGGCTCTCATGCTCCAGAAGCTGGTGGTGCATTTCCCATTTGGAGACTCCTCATTCATAACACAGCAACTGAGGCGAACGTTATTTGAAATTTGGAAAGAGTTGTAATTCTGAGATGCTTCAAATGTTGTCAGTTTTAGCTTCTACAGACATGGGGCCTCTCCCTGAGCGGGGACGCCTTCAGCTGTGCTACAGAGACGGCTGCGAGGTGGTGCTCTCCTGATGAGCAGAAATGTGGTGGGCACGAACCAGGCTTATGATGTGGATATAAACACCTGTGAGAGCAGAGTCAAGATGCTGGCAGTAGGGAAATGGACTCTGTAGGAGGAGGTGATCAAGAATCTTGGCTATAAGAAAGGATTCTGGGTATGACAACCCAGCAGAGCCAGTAGGCCACTCTGGTTCTCATAAGATCCTGCCCTCATTTGCCACTCAGCACATCCCCAGGTACGATGGGTCAGCCCTTTTCTAGCTATGGCCCTCACCAGAAAAGTAAATGCTATAGGACCTCAGACCTCATGGTGCTAAGGAAGAAGACTCTAGTCCGAGAAGGTCCTACTGGTAGGGTTCTGGGAAGCAGGGGGGCTTCTCAATACAGCTCCCAATCCCTGGGAGCGGCTGCATGCTCCCAGGGAGGTAGAGGGTGCAAGTGGCTTGGCTATACTGACCCCCGACTGGAAAGCCAGGGCCCCCCTCACATCTGCAGTGATCACGCGTGTCAGAGACCAGCAAGCCTGCACATGTGAGAACGGAGCACACGCCAGCGGTGACATAGGACTCCCTTCCCCACTCCAGGACAGCAGGGCTCAGGGCCCAGGCTTGACTTCTAAGGCTCAGAGTGGGTTCTGCTGTGGGACTGACGTGGCTTTGCTTGTTTCGAGGACCCCAGTTCAGCCTAGTCTTCAACCCTCAGACAAACTGGGACAGGTTGGGGACTTTGATGTTGAGGTCACCGATGTTGATGTTCCGAGGAATCTCCGGCAGGTTGATGTTTTTCACAGCGGACACGGCCCGGGCGGGGGCTGCTGAGAGGCCGCCCTGCAGAGAAATGACAGGTGGGTGTGAGACAAACCCTCAGTGTCACCTACTTAATGCTTAAAGAATACCGGGGAAGGAGACCTAGAAAATGTCCAACCTGAGCACACACAACACAACTTTTGCTTTTTCCTCCCTGTTCCTCGAAGGCAGCTAACACAATAATCTTTGGGTGAGATGGAGACCATGGTACAGGGGTCCAAACCTTGTGCTCCTAAAGGGGGTTGTGGCTTACCAAGTTTTATGGCCCCTGCACCTACCAGTGCCTGCTAGGTAGGTGGTCAATAAATGCTTGCTGAAATAATCTGAGACAGTTTGACCAAGTCACATTCGGTATCAGGGGCAGCTTTCAGATTACAAAACCAAACCAAACCCTTTCCTCAAGATATTAAAGACTCTCAAAGACAAGTGCAGTCACAGGGAAATTCTTGAAAGGAAAAAGAATGTCACCATCACGGCTTAGGGCGACTGCTCGCCAGCTAATAATGTGAGATGGAAAAGAACTGGCTTTCAAAATGTCATGTGGCAACAAGATGGGAGGAAGCACACACAGGAGGCAGGGGGCATCCACAGACACGAAGGGACTGGTAACAAACTCCGAGGACAAAGGTGTGTACGCTCAGCCCCCATCCTCCAGGATCAGCCCTGGTGTGCAGGGAAGGGGGCAAGTGGACAGGGACTCCCTCAAAACCACTTCCCTTCCTCCTTATCGCCTACCTTCTGAGAGAAACTCCAACTCTACCCTCAGCCAGCAAGGCTCCATTTCTTCTGGTTTCCAAACCCGTTGCCTCTGACTCACTTACTATTCCTGGAAGCTTCCCAGCCTGCATTTCTAGAACTACATTTGCCACAATAGCTGTGGTCTGGAAAAGCTTCTTCAGCAGAACTGCTAGTCCTCACAGAAAGAATTCTTGGTTTCGCAAGATCAAGTTCCGTTACACGAAGCAAGGAAGCACTTGAAGATGCTTGGATGACTAAAGCAGGGGTCCGGTGGGCGTCTGCCGTGTGTGAATGTGTACCCCTGGTACCTCCCCTCCCTGGTAAGGCTGATGAAGGCGATGCAGGGACTGCTGGGGGATAGAATAGACTCACTGTGAGCATCTGTGTCAAGCCAGAACCACGTGGGGCTGGACGAGGGGATGCTATTTTCAAACCCTGTCCAAACTCTACTGTAGCTTTTCTAAGGCTAACTGGAAACAAGGAAATTGGCAACTCTGAGGTCTGGAAGATACCACGAGAAACGGCTGCTGGGAGGTCAGACTCATACAGCACCAACTAGGAAACCACACAGGAACTGGAGAAGGGGACTCTGGGCCCCTCCAGGGAATGTGTGGCTTGAGAGGAGGAATTAACAACACAAACGTGGGCCCTCGCCCCCACGTCAGAAGTTGCTTGCCTGCCCATGTCAGCTGGCTTTTCTATCCATACCTTTAGCCTCCTTCTTACCTGGCCTTCAAATCAATGAGCTTTCACGGATCAGGGAAGAAAGGAGGCGAGTGTAAAACATTCCTAAGGTTCCAGAGCAACATAAACCAACAAACATGCACCCGTTCCCCCTCCTGCCCAGGTCTTCTCAACCGCCAGGGCAAAGTACAGCTGTGCGCTCACCTCTGATTTCTCCAGCCTGTTCTGAGCTTCGATCTGAGCCACGATTTCATTCATGTTTGTTTCCAACACCATTCCCCCCATCACCACCTCCTGAAGGATGTAGTGCACCTAAAGGAGAACCAAAAATAAGGGTTAAAGCACCCAGCGGTCGTTAGTGAGGCCCAGAAGGAGACTTCGCAGGCCGTCCTGCACCAGCAGAGTCGTCAGACCTGACACCAGCTCTGGACTCACGGCAGACACCTAAGCCCCTGATCATTCACCTCAGGGGTTTCCCTCACGCCTCGCACATCATAACATGAGTCTCTCCCACGAGCAGTGGTAGAGGTGCCTGGCTACACTCCAGGCAGGAAGGTGACAGCTGAAAGCACAGGCTCTGAAGTCAGACAGACCTTGGTTAAATTTTAGCTCTGCTATTTGTTGGCTGATGACTTTGGGCAACTTATCCTCTTAATGCTTCATCTTCCTTCCAGGATAGTGGTGAGGACTAAATGAGATAACCTATGTAAAGCACCTCATGTGGTGCCTGACACATACTGGGCTCTAAGTAATGGTGGCATCCATCACATTATCATCACCCATCCATGTCCATCAATAGATGAATGGATAAACAAAGTGGGGTACATACGTACAACAGAATACGATTCAGCCTTAAAAAGGAAGAAAAGTCTGACACATACTATGACGTGGATGTACCTTAAAGACATTACACTAAGCAAAAGAGGCCACACACAAAAGGACAAAGGTGCTATGACTCCACTTGTATGAGATACTTAGTAGTCAAAAATCACGGAGGCAGAAAGTAGAATGGTGGCTGCTGGGGACTGAGGGAAGGAGTTATTTAATGCGTACAGAGTTTTGCAAGACGAAAAGAGTTCTGGAAATGAGACGCACAAAAATGTGAATGTCCTTAACACTACTGGACTGTATACTTAAAAATGAAGACGGTAAACTCTTATGTAAATTTCACAATAAAATTGAAAGGTCACTATAGCAATGCTCTAGTACGCATTTCTCTTGTTTAACAAATCCATTCTTCAGGGGGAAGTAGTACTTGTTGAGCATCGACTATGTGCTGAGCACTTTATATGTCACTTATTTTAATTTCACAACGTTAGTGTGAGACAGTTAATGTAATCTCCATTTTATATATGGGAAAAGTGATATAGTGAAAAGTCAATAAACTGTCCCAGTGCCACGTGCATTAGTAGTGAAACCGAGCACTGAACTGAGGTCTGGCGGAATCCAGCGCTCACGTTCCACCCTTACCCCCACACTCCCACAAGATCCCAGACTGTGCCTTGCCCCTGTCCATCCTTTACTGCTAGTCCACATGGAATCATTTTAAGACATGCCTTTGGTTTGTCAATATTCTTGTATGAATTCCTCTAGGCTTTGTCCCCTAGGCCTAGGGCAGTGCCCAGGGCAGAGCCGCCATGCTGAATGAATGAAAGGCTGTTATTAAGTCTGAGTAGCGCATTCCTCGCGCTTAGAAGATGGATGACGGCGTGGTGGCACAGGCTTTACGGAGAAGGTGTAGTAAGGCCTAATATAGAGTATCATGGGGACCAGCGGTTGGTTAACAAAAAATGTCAGTTAAGACTTCTGATTTGAACACTGTATCATTAAGTCATACTTTTTAAATGCTATTCAAAATGTATTCTAAGTGCAAAAAGGAGAAATAAAAATGCAAACTCCATTTTCAACAAAACTAGAAGATAACCCAAATCCTAGGCCTCAAAACAGGGAAAAGCTGTGCAGAGGAGGGAGCATAAGGGCCCCTTTCCTTTCGAGAAGGAAGCGCTGAAAGAATGCTGTGGGAAGAGGACACGGGAGCTACGGAGCTCAGAAAGACCTACAAAAGTACACTTCCTGTAGCGAAAGGGCACCCCCTCTGGGACCAAACAGATCCTTGTTTTTGGATGACAGGAACTTCCTTGGACCGGGGGGTGGGATTAAATGAGAAACCACATACACAAGCTATATTTGCCTCACAGAGTTGGTCTGTCTGGCAGCAGAGAACACAGGCTTTGCGTTGTGGAAAAGCTCACAGATGCCCATCTCTATTGGCTGGACAAAATAAAGGGTAAATGAACTCACCCAGAACCCTAAATCATGAGAACTGCAGCCAGCTTGGGACACAGACTTGGCACCTCCCTAAACAAGCATCCTGCAAACAGCCAGTCCCTAAAAACCTCACCTATTTAAAGATGAGTTATAAAAATAAAATCTACACAGGATCTATATAAGATACAACCAGAAAAAAATTAGGAAAGAAATAAGAAAACCAAAAGGCAGACTAAGACTACACACTGGAAAAATGCCACAGATAAGATTGTAATAAAATATTTTGCAAAATTAAAAAAAGAAAACTATGAAGCAAGAGCTCAAAGCAGAATTGCAAGAGCTTATGGGAGACGTGGGCAGGTAAGAGAAGACATCTACTAGCACAGCTCAGAAAAGAAGTGGAAGGAAAAAACGTACAGAAATGAAGGTGAAACTGGAAGGAACAGGGGGAAGGGACACCACTAAAAACATAGCAAGGAATGAAAAGGAGAGAAATGAAATAAAGCAACTGAAATGAAACAAAAAAAAAGAGTTAAAAGGAATAGAGAGAAAATGATAGTTACAGAAAATAGTAAAGAAGATGTAACAGATGCATAAAAGAAAAGTAACATGAAACGGAACATAAATGTAAAGATTTGTTCATAAAGATTACATAAAGATGTAATTCAAGATGTTTCTGGGAGACAAAAGGATTAAAATGCTGAAAGGGCACAGTGTACCCCAGGGAAAAGTGACCCTGAAGAGTCAGTGCCAAGAGAGGGCTGGAGGGTTAGATTTCTGGATTTCGGCAACCTGGCAAAAAAATCAAATCACTTAAAAGAGGGATTGAATTTTGAAAATTTCCACAATAAAATACAATGCTAGCAGAAAAAATGAGCAATACCTACAAAATTCCCAAGGAGAGAAAGTCAGACCTGAGAATTTTACACCCAGTCAATCGCCAACCAAGAGTAACAGAGTGGGAACTATAATTCCCATGAGTCTTTCTTGAATCTACAAAAGCACACACTTCTGCCAGCCAAGGGGTGACTGGGAAACCTGCGGCAGCAAGACTGGTGGCGAGCACTGAGCCTACGTAATGGAAGGACTAAGACTAACTGGGATTGCAGTGATGAGAGAATGTCAAAGCTGTGTGTTTTAACAATGTAGAAAAGCTACAGTTAGCAAAAATTAGAGAGATGGTAAAAAAAAAAAAAAAAAAAAAAAAAAAAAAAAAAAAAAAAAAAAAAAAAAAAAAAAAAAAAAAAAAAAAAAAAAAAAAAAGGAAAGAGATAGAATAAGAACACTGATTCCCCAGCCACAATGACTGAGAGCCAATGGATAGCACTTAAAACCGACAACTCACGTAATAAAGATACAGTCGCATTATGACTTTTACTGTGACTTCCCACCCATGTCCAAACCCACAATCATTTGCTGTAAACAATACTTTTGAGAGCCACCAAATTTCTGATTTAGGACCAATAAGATCTTTTCTGCTGATTATAGAGTTCTATACTATTTTTCTTGCAAAAATTCACCTGTAATGCAGCCTCTAGAATTTCCAGTTTCTCTACGGCAGAGGGAGAACTCCAACTCCTGTAAAGGTGGAGCCCTCCACCCCTCATCTTCTAGAGTTATCCTCCCCAAACCTAACTTGACTTCATTTCCTTTAAAAGTAACTTGCCTTTCCAAAGCAGTCACCTTTGTTTTCATAGAACAAATCACTTTTCTCATGAGTGGTTTACCTGTATGTTATTAATTAAATTGCATGACTACGACACCAGTATAGCTGGCATCAACAGGTCTGAAAACATCATATGACCTTGGTGAGCATAGTCACTCATGTGGTATAAATGAGCAACTAGGAGTCCGCTGCCCACATTCATCTGATAACTCGGGGAAGACCTCTTCCACATGAAGTGGACCGTAACAGATGGGTAACATTGCTTTGAGTGGAGACGGAGGGGACCTGAAAAAGGTGGAGGTTGCCAAGCACAGGCGTGGGGAGAGGGAGGCTAAGAATCAATACTAAACTTGCGTACCTATGAACTAGAGAACCGTCAGATCTCAAAGAATGGTTCTTTTAAATGACAGGAGTTGGTTGATGGGCTGATCTTGAGGATTCCAAGAGAAATACTGGTAAATACCTCAGAGAACCCTGAGAGTTAAAGGACCCAGCAGACACAGGGAGGCAGGGGAAAATGAAATGACTCATGCAGGTGGCAATAAGAACCACGAGAACAGAAGAAAGCACAGAGGTAAAGTCCGCAGAAGCCCCAAACCCAGCCTAACACTGTGTGCATCAAGCAAATATAAATCATCAACTAATAATAGTTCACACTGTTCTATTTTGGCAACCACCTAAAATAAAAGACACCAGCAAAATTTACTCATGAGTTTTTGTTCAGGGAACAAAAGTGCTGACTTCTTAGTTCCTGGCAAATTCATTGGCAATTTGACCCAGGAACAATCACAAGCAGGCAGAGTAGGAGAGTATGTATGATAACCCCTGCAAACCAACAGGTTACCTTGATGTAAGGGGGAAGGCAATAAAGTACTTTTGGTGATGAACCTGAAATTTTAATAGGGAAAATGCTAGGTAGAAACTGATGTTTCACAACATCCAGATACATAAATTGTGGCCATACTTCAGTGACTAAAAGTTAGGAGTTTATAGTTCTGTCCTATTAAAAAATGTCTTAAAACCCCTCAGAATAGTCAAAAAGTAGGAAAGATTACCAGTATCAAAATGTCTATTCCTCTGAAGACAATCTAACCTGCTATCAAGCCTCTGTTCTCTCCTCCCTACATCCCTGGACATGTTTCATTTCCAGGGAGCTGTCACATTGTCCCCCCATCCCCTGAAGGTACTTGCTTCTATAACTGGATCCACTGGGCATCCAATTTGGCCCCAACTCTTCTTTTTTGTCAATATAACTGTTTGAGACCTTCCCCACCTCATTCCCTAGAGGCAGTATGAATGTCCTGATCAAGACGGGGACCTCTAAGTTTGTGTCCTGGGCTCCCCCAGAAGTTTTTCTGTGACTCAGTGTACTAACAGA